GGAAGCCTGCTTCTCCCTCTCCCACTCCCCCGCTTGTGGTCCTGCTCTCGCTAACTCTCTCTCCGTCAAATAAGTAAATAAAATCTTTAAAAAAAAAAAAAAGAAACATACATCTTTAATTTTTTCCAGTTTTAATTTTCACTGAGGAGGTCTCACCACGGTGGCATTATAAAGCAACTGTTATTTGGGTCAAGTAATGAGTGCGTTGCAAGAGTTCCGTAAATCTTTTATGAATTGCTTTTGTTTCTGCTATTTTGTAACTATGTTCCAAGTCCCTGGCACTGTAGCCAACTAGGAGATCCATTTTTGCCACGTCCCGTCACCAAACCAACATTCTCCAGCAGACGTTTTTTTCTTAGCTTGATTTTTTAAAACAGGTCTAGTGTGAGCACCAAACACTGCAGAGCAGCTAGGTGAGGTACTGACTGCCAACAGAGCTTCAAAAAGCCTTTCAAGTGGCTTTTCCTGCTTCCTAGCTAGCAACACTCCTCTTACCTCATACAACACATTTTGATTTTCTCCTTCCTTTGAACACATGACAAGGTAAGGCAATCAGCATCCTGATCCCCATTTGACCAATGAAGAAGCTGAAGCTCAGAGAGACTGGGGTCAAACTAACCAAGGTAACCCAACTCACTAATGGCAAGACTGAGCCTAAAAACCAGGACCCCTGACACATCCCAAGGTCATGCTGCCACTCACCACACAAGGCTTCTTAGGCTTTCTGCAACTTTCCAAAGAGAAGTCAAGAGAAGAGCGGGAGGGAGGAAGAGAGAGGGAGAGCAAGACAGAGGCAGAGGTAAAGGAAATGAGAAAAAGTAAAGACATTAGTCTCCTAGATTATAATTCATAACTAACTCCTATTGAAATTAAACACATTGTTTTTACTGATAACTAGGTGGTAAAATAGAAACATTCCCTCTGTTGTTCTGCATATTATGTAGTATTTCTTCCTGAGAGCTTAAGCTTTCAAATAAAAATCGATTTTTTAGAGTCTTCTGAAATCCACGGTGTTAAAAGGCTTCCAGACTCATGGGCCCAGACATCCCCCTGCTTTGGGCCACAGAAGTCTCCCTTCACTGTCAGTTAACCTGAATTCTCAAGAATTCCTGGAGGGCAAATAGAAGGACCCAGACACAGCCAGTCATTTTTCCATGACACCATCTAATAGGTCTCTATTTGAGCTGACCCTTCTGTGCTAGGAAACTGTTCCTGGGAGTCTACAAACCAGTTTATTTCTCCAGATGTCCTTTTCTTAGATGATGTATATTAGGTATGTGTCCTTTTTTAAAAAAATATTTATTTTGAGAGCGAGCGAGCGAGCACAAACGGGAGGTGGGGGGAGGAGCAGACGAAGAGGGCAGGGAGCCCAATGCGGGGCTCGATCCCAGGACCCCGGGATCATGACCTGAGCCGAAGGCAGACGCTTCACCGACTCAGCCACCCAGGCACCCCTGTATATGTCCCTTCTAATACTATATTTTTTTTAGGCTTTGTCCTTTTTATAACACTTTCTTGAGAATTAGAATAATTGGTCTCTGCCTCTTTGTTCTCTTCATTGATAAAATCTGTGTTTCCTCTAAAACCTACTACTAAAATCTACTTTCACCTGAAAATTAAACTCTCAGCTTATTACCCTAAGCTGGGGCAGAGGTCATCACATTTTTTTCTGTAAAAGGTCAGACAGTAAATATGTTAGGTTCTGTGGGCTACCTAAGACCTCTGTCATATATCCCTTCCTTCTTTTAACAATGCTTTAAAAATGTAAAAACCATTCTTGAATGCCATACGAAAAGCCTCTGGCTACCTCAGTTCATCAACCCCTGCCCTAAACCATTCATTTTAATGGGCCCTAACTAACCCATTTGGAATGAGTTGGAGCAACTTCACTTATTTATACTTCGGAAGACAAACTGAAGGGAACTTAAGCTCACAAATCGGTAATTCAGAAGGGCTGGTGGAGAAAGGGGTCTCCCAATGGATATGAAAGGTGACCTTGACTTTACTTGGTTTTGCCATGAGAAACCTGAACCCAGAGAAGCTGGTCAACAGGGATAAAGTTGAAATGAAAGCACAAACAAGGCCAGTTTATTTTACACAGACTCCCGAGGTAGTTAATGTGGGAAACAGCAGGCTCGGCATTAAAACCTTCTCTGGGGTTGGTTCATTCAGCACACATCTCATTCATGCTCACAGGCCAAAATGAGGTGAAAACGAACACAAATCAAGCCCTGGAGAGGAATCCAGGCCTTGGGCAGTGTCTCCAAGCTATGGACCCCAATTTCCATAAAACAGCTCAGCAGATTCCACTAAAGTAAGATAATTTTATTTTAATAAAAGTGTCCTCTTTTGAAGCTGGCCCTTCCCCCCATCACTAGAAAGCAGTTTTTATCAATAAAAAGCCATCCATTTATTTAGACATACTCTTTTTAGGCAACTTTAACTTTTTCCACCGGCGTAACACCACTCTGTACTTTTCACTTTCCGTTTTCTCCTCCAACACTTTTTTCAGGAGAACCCTCATCACTGTCTCTGTTTCTGCTTCTTTATCCTCTCCAATTAGAAGATCCAATATATCTCCCACTTTCACCTGAAAATTAAAAGAAAACTCAGCCTTCACTGCATTTTGGGAAACGCAGGCCAATGCAAATGTCCTTTTTTTTTAAGTTTTTTTTTTTAGTAATCTTTACACCCAACGTGGGGCTTGAACTGAGATCAAGAGTTGCATGCTCCACTGACTGGGCCAGCCAGGTGCCCCGCAAACGTCCTTGCTGTGAGTTTTTATCAGGGGACCGTCATCACCCAGGGGGGCATGTGAAAAAAGGTAGTGATTCCTCTGAAGCCGTCCCTTATCCCTAGTGCCTCCAAGACAAAGGGCCTCACGCAGAGGAAGCCTCCAACACATGTGCCCAATACCATCCGCGTCCTTCCATCAGACCTAGCCAGCTGGCTGCTTATGGGCAGCTCCGGTGTGCCGCGGCTCAACTACTCACCTCTACTAGGTGATTGAAGGAAACACACGGAGGGATTTGTTTTGGCAACAATGACAAGAGGCAAAGAAAGTGGGGCACAATCGTAGAGAATCTGTGCATAGTAATTATTGCCAGCACTGAGAAAACCATTTCCAGTGTAACTTTTCATTGATTTCTACTCAGATGAGCTACGTAATTGGGGATGGGACAGTCTGTTGAAAATTAGTCACTGTGGAATAATATTCAGCTGTACCTCTTAGAGAAATGGGAAACTTCTTTCCTAGCACTGATTAGCCCCAGTGATGCCACATCATCAAGATGGGACTCAATACACAAAGACGGAATGTCACAAAAAGGATCAGGTTGGATGCTGACTCAATGGGTTCAAAGGGCTGAGGTCAAACCCATTCTTGCCCAGGTGGGAGCCTTGGGCTGAGCAGTCCGGGGCATATCACAGCAGTGTTGCCAGGGACAGCCCATGGCGGGCACCTGGTGCTGGCAAGTCAGGATTCCAGGGGCATCTGCCCAGTGACTCAGGACGGAGCTAAACGGACACAGGTGCCATAGACTTCTTCTACTAGAACACAAGCCAGGAGTGACTGGGGCCACCTCAGATCACTCACCACTGCTTCCAAAGAGGTGGGCAGCAAGCCCACGTGTGGGCAATGGACTCTAAGTGGGCACAGGTGGCCATTTAAAAGCCTACGGGAGGGTTTCTGTTTAAGAAGTATGGTGCCACTTTTACCTTGTTTTCTGATTAATGCTCTCTGAGGCAGTCCTAAATTCACGCTGTCCAAAACGTCTGTACCTTAGCCGGGCAAGCTCCTATTTGTTTTCCCACCCATTCAAGGGCCCAATATTCAATCCACAACATGGGAATACACGCGTCCGCCACCAGGCCTACTGGTCAACCCGGGCGGCCTAGAGCGGCATGTGAAACACACAGCGCAGATTGTAAACCGTTAACCTTCTCCCCTCTGGGCTGAGAAGCAAAAAGGCGCACACCACAAGGAGGCATGAAGACTGCTTCTCCCCTGGATCTGGAGGATGGGCTGACCGAGGCATCATCTAGGCGGGGCTGTCCTCCCGTAGTTCTCATGAGTTCAATTAAAAAAAAAAAAAGACCATTTGGCCTAACTGTGTGGACATTTAAAATCAATGTCCAGAAATACAAGGTTTCAGAACATTTTGAATGCCTTTGCATTTTTCAGCATGACTATTAAAATTCACTTTTTATTAAGTAACATATGCATGTGATACAAAATATAAAAGGCATAAAAGGATACACAGAGAAAAAGGCCACGCGTCTGGTGTATCCCTTCACAGACCTACTGTGTGTAGTATGTGTGTGTGGCTGAGCAGCGGGTCCCTTTGGTAGCTCACTTCTAAGGCAGAGACTAAGAAGGAATGTCTCTCCTTTAGCCAGTCAATCCCAGGGAGTGGGGAGTTTAGAAAGCTTCAGTCCCATACTGGGGCTCTACGTAGCCTGTGTGTAAGTCAGCAGGGACCCAGCCCCTCCTACACCTGGTCCGCAGCTTACAGAGAAGCTCTGCTGCGCCACAGGCGGCCAGGGTCACCACCGAAGCACCACGAACCCGCCCACCCGACTTCAGGGCCGGCAGCCCGCCCCAGCCCCGTGCAGCAGGCCACGGAAGCGGAGGTGTCCTTTTTTCGCTGCAAGGGCCTGTCCTTTCTCATGTGGGAGACAGCACAGCACACACAAAGCAAAACTGGCTGGGATTACAGGCTGTTCCAAATATCTACATTTCAAATCTCCCCTCAGCTGCCGTTACTATGGCTACAGGCCTCCTAGTAACAAGCCAGTCGAGTGTTAACACTGGCCCCTTCCTTTGCTGACCCTCAGGAGAAATCTGGAAGGCAGCCGAGACAACAGAACACCCAAGGCAGAATGAAGAAGCAGCAATTAGACTGTAGTTAACAATATATCAAAGCAGAGGGGGGAGAATACACTTGTGTTTGTAAATGAGGCCCTGGCACAGAGGCTTGGTGCGCCCAGAGCAGGTCCTGTCTTAGGAACACTGTGGCTGCGGAGAGGGGGCAGGGCCACAAGCAGGAAAAAGCAATTATGGGACAAGAAGAGCCTGATCTCCAGATGCACGTCTGAAGCGCCTGATTTCCTGCAGCTCACAGAGCCATGAATGACACGCCGAACCTGCCGGGTCAGGTGTCATCACAGGCTGTGGACCTTGGGACTCGCAGCTGAGACAAGCACTGGGGAGTGCCCCTCCTCCCGGCTGGTTAGCCATGAGAACCTGTAGGATCCCAGAGAGCAAGGTCTCTGAAGAAAGCCTGTGTTTACCCGGATCCATGGCCAACAGCTCACACCCTCCCTTGTCCCAGAGCAAAAGGATGTGGCTCAAGCCCTCCAACCCCAGGGGTGTTGTGAAATATGAAACAAGCTTCAAAGCCACCTACAAACATGTGTCTAACTTCCCTGGACACTCAAAAAGAGCGTCCTCACAGAGTGAGATTATGTCTGCCAAAGCCTCGTATGTCTGTGTCTTCCAAGCTTTTTTTTTTAAGATTTTATTTACTCATTTGAGACAGAGAGGGCGCGCAGCTGAGGAAGGGGGCGGGGCAGAGGGAGCAGCAGACTCCCCGCTGAGCAGGGAGCCCGATGTGGGGCTC